CATATATACCATAATTGAATATAGAAACTTAAGTGGTTGATTTAACACACATAAAATCAATTCGGGATTTTTGTCCAGTTCTATCGTTGACATCGTTCCATCTAGGCAACGTAGGTCTACCATTATTGTAACTATAACAACATGCAAGATTTTGGGTCTACAAGTTGCATGCTTTCTTAAACACAGATTTTGATCTTAGCTAAAAATCATGGTTATTTTTTATTTTTTTTTTTTGTTGCACATTGATATTTGTGATGAGCTCAGTCAATATGTACTCACGTTTTATAATATATTGAAAATGTGTCTGGAAATAGTCAAGAAAGATAAAAACACTGAAACAGAACAGAGTAGTTTGATGCTCAGAAATGTGTCAGTAGTTTAAACTTGAAAATACACAAAGTTTATTATTGTGTCCATATTTTTTAGAGGACAGTAAATCGTCAAAAAACAAACAAAAACAAAAACAAAAATCAACGCATGGTGGTTTTTTAACGAATTAAAATTTACAATATCACTTTTCTTTTCCCAAATAATAATGGGAAATTAGAAAATGAATACAGAAAAAGCATGATTGATACAAAATTCATTAAAAATGCCCCACATGAGCGCGGAGATTGAAGTAGTTTACAAGATTTGACAAGGAACTATCCAATGCATATCTTTATAATCTTCATTTACCAATCTTTACAAGACGCAGGGTAAAGAAGAGGTCTCTTTGTGGACATATATTTGTTCCGCATAATACTTGTCCCCCCTGGAACAAAACTATGGATAATAAAAGTTCTTGGGAACAAACATTACATAATATTATTTCTACCTTCATAAGATATTTTACTGGAACTAAAACATCATATGGTCTCATAATATTTGTTCCTTTAAAGAAAGAGTGTCATTTAATTTTTTACACCTGATTACATCTTAATTAATGTTCACCTCACATGACATTTACCTGTACATGAAGTACATGAAAAGAATGGAGTCTGAGGAATACAACAGTATTTTTGCATATTTAAACGATGGCTCTTATTCTAAACAAGGTAAGAATATATATTTTTAATATTTTATTACTGCATGCTCCACTGTGACTTACTTAACTAAATGGTCCGTACCAATGAAGAAAGTTTAGCTTATACTTTAGTCAAGCATGAAGTTAGCCACAAATTTCAGATGAAAATGCCTGTACTTTATTATTGGAAATTCACTTACATACATTTGTAGCTAGAAATAATTTTGGATATTGTAGTAGATATTCCTAGAACTTTGATCATATAATAAATATTTCTAGAACATTAATTATCTAATAACCATGATAACTATTCCTGGAACATTTATAATATAGCTAAAATTCTATATGCCTGGAACTTTTATAACATAACAAATATTCCTAGAACTTTTATAATATAACAAATATTCCTGGAACTTTTTATAATATAACAAAATTTCCTGGAACTTTTATTATATAAAGCATTGTTCATAATATTTATTTCAAAGAACTTGTAGCATATAACAAAAGTTCTATTGGGAACTTTCCATATATTTTATCCTTTGTGAAGGAAATTTTCTTATAGCATTGGATAAAATATTATATAAGGAAAGTTCCCAATGGAACTTTTGTTATATGCTAAAAGGTCTTTGGAATTAATATTATGAGGAACTTATATTCTGTCACATCTTTGCTACAGTGTACCAATACAAAATTTATATAATTTTAGATTGAACTTGTGCTCAAATTTAAGCATCTGTAGAGGCAGTCTGTCTAAGATCAAAATACTCAAGAAAAGCAGTTTATTTAAATGACTGGTTAATAGTTATAATATAACTAAATCAATAGTTTATATAATAAGTAGTGCAAGCAATATCTATATTTACAAGTGTCACTGTTTATTTTTTCCCCCATCATCAACAAGGAAAAAATCCTAGTCTTGTCAAAGTCAAGTTGTGACTTATCTACATGTAGGACAGTTTTTCAAATAGATTGGGTGTGATTTCCCTCCACAATTGAGGATTTTCACATTTCATAATGGTCAGGCAATTGTCCGACAGCATTTCTTAATTCTTTTTATGCATTACAAGAATAATATTAAATATCTAGCACAGAGTTGGTCTCTTATGCAAGAATATACTAGACAAATGTGATTACTAACAGTAGTTTGAATTTTGAATCAATTTTGATTTAAAGATGTGATTATAAAAATCCCATTTACTTTGTATCTCAAATCTTGTCTAAATTTGAATAATTCAAAATTCTTGTGAGTGATTTTTAGTTTAACAAATGACAGTGTTGAAGTCACAAAAATACTTCCAAATGTGTTTTGGTTGGTATATAGGGTACCAAATCTATCTGAATGTATAGAATTTAGATCAGATGAATTGAGAAATGAAATGAGTATTTCTGATTGTGAAACCATTTCTGAAACAATTAAAAACACTTTAAACAGTACAAGTGTTTTTTTATAATGTCAAACGGTTGTTTTCTTTAAATATAGAACTATATAATTTATTTGGCAATTCGCATGTCAGTTTTCTGATTGTGAAATCTTTTCTGAAACAAAAAACAATCATCAAGAGCAACAGTACAAGAGTTGTTCAATATGTCAAACTTTTGTTTCTTTAAATTTGGAACTGTGCATGGCAATTTGTAATTCAAAACAAATTTACTCATAAAAGTTCACACTTTTAGAAAAATTACCATTGTGTGAGATTAACAGAGATTTCATAGTTTGTGAAAATCATCTGTCCACACTATTTTTTGGATATTAGGACAAATGATTTTGACTTGTAGATCAGCATCCAAATGCTCTATTGGAGCATTAATGATACCATTGGAAAACATGTATACTTAAACATTTCCACTGTTTTGTCCATATCTTTATTTTTACACTAGCTAGTAGTGTAGTACGAAATACATAGATAATGATTGTTCATTGCTGGACTGGTAGGCATTGTATTCAAAGGTTCTACCACTCTCATAGAAATTTCTATCAGACTTTTAAATTTTAGTCGGGTAGAAAATTGTCATGTAATTCCTAAAATGCAGGACTTCTCTTGACAAAAAGATTTTCATTCTAAATCTGTTAGATATCAACAAGAGTAGTACATCTAGAAGAATAAGTACACAAAGTTGTATAGATTGATCCATATTTAGCATACTCATGAAACAACTTTTCTTTGAGTCTTTATTACAGTTTTTTGTTAGTACTGTTTAGAACAGTGATTTACATAGTATATTTGAATTAATTATAATTCTTTGAAAGAAAAAGGCTTATTTTGAAAGATATTGATAATGATTAGGTTATCCAAAGATAATCACCGATCATATATTATCTGTTATTATTTATAGAATAACTAATCGAAGAATTCAAATATCGAAAAATATTCAACGAGTGACCGAACAACACATTAATTCACGAATGCACGTAGCGCATGAGTTAATTATCAGTGTTGTTCGGTCACGAGTTGAATATTTTTCGATATTTGAATTCTTTGATTTGTTATTCTTTTTATTACATTGGCAAATGGCTTTTTTAATGAAATTAATGTAGAAAATGTAAGGAACTATTTCTTTTTTCTACGCATTCACAAATTGTTTTGATCCGACGTTATCGACGTCTTGACAACGCCTATTGTTGTATGACGTCAGAGAGTGAAATACCCACGTTTATTTCACATGTGAAATTATCGGTTTTTATTTGACTGGGAAATCAATGTAATTCATTGCTACCAATGTAATAAATCAAAATAATAGAGAAAAAAAGAAAATTTAGAGAGAAGCTAAATGTTTTCGAGTAAACTAAAGTTTGGAAAACTAATATTTCAAAGTTGAAAAGTAATATGATAAAGGCAGGATGCTTCGAAAATCAGATACTTAGGTTTGATTAGTTCTTGTCGATTTGTACAAGCAATAAGAAAGAACAACCTATTCACATGACAAATTAAAAACAAATTTACTGTTGCAATATTACAACACATTTAGGTTATAACGAAGGAGCTTTAATAAAATAATTTCTATACTGCAGATTATTTATCCAAGTCTAATTTTATCATTTTTATTGCATATTTTATTAATGCAAGTTGCAAAGTTTTGCCATAAAGTTTGGTTGATAGATATACAGTCATACAACATGGTTTTATTGTGTAATAAATGTAAATTTTGTAATTTCAGTTTTGACTACTTATAGTATTAACAAAATTTAGTGGAGTTATTTTTCAAACAATTTGACACAGTTTTTATATGTTATAAATTGTATATGTATGAGAGAATTTATCCTCCACCAAAATGAGACACTGCTTGGTAATCAGTGAATATTCTATATAATATAAATGTAATTTCATGGTAAGTATATTTAACCAAATTCATATAAAATGGTTATTTTTGAAATCTCAAGAAGAGATTTTATATGAATTTATAGGGTTAAATATACTTACCACAATCCGCCACCATCATTGAATTGAAAATGGAAACGGGGCATCATGTATCATTTGTGAAGTTGATACGGAATATTTATCAACAAGGGTTTGGTGTCTGCTGATGAATTTTGTAGAAAAAGGACGAGACGTTCTTTGACATAACCCTAGTTCATCAACGTTCCTTGACATAACCCTATTTCATCAACGTTCTGCTCAGAAACTGGTGATGATTTATAAGGTCTGAGTAGCAGCTGCAAGCTCTTGAATACTGAATGAGTTGGGAAATGTATATTCCATATGCAGGTGAAGTTGGTATATTGCTGCTAAGTGGAGGACATTTATAATTTCAAATTAAAATAGTCTCGTTTGTCATAGATTCAGGTACTGAGATGACCACGTATGTAAAATTCGAGGTATACGTCTAAAAATGAGGCGGAGGAAGCCGTGTCTGTTGTATCGTTAATTTATAGTTCTGGTGGAAAATACCTTTAAACTTTTGTGCTAAAATGAACAACCCATTCTAATGTACGGATAAAAATGTGTAGTACCAAAGTGTGTCTTTTTATTTCGATATTTTTCAAACATTTTTGCAGAAATGGGACAAGCAGAATCAAAAGAGGTGATAGAAGATGGTAAATTTGAAAAACTGAAGCAGATAGCAACAAGACAAGGACAGCTGCAGTTTCACAGTATCTTAAGGATAATGTGAATCAATGGAAAGAAGAAAAAGTAATTTTTGCCGTTACTGGGAGGTCCGCTACAGGAAAATCAACGTTTATTAATAAAATCAGAGATGTCCAACCATCTGATCCAGGATTCGCCAAATCTGGAAGTGGAAACACTACCAAAGAACTAACAGCTTACCAGAATCCACAGAATAAGAGAATAGAATTCTATGACCTACCAGGAGTAGGAACAATGGAATTTCCAAAAGAAACGTACGTTTCGAAAATGAAATTAAAGGAATACGATTACTTTTTCATATTTTTCGACAAAGTTTTAAGTGAAGATGACTATTTCCTGGTCTGCATGCTAATAGACTTGAAAAAGTCATTCTGTTTAGTGAGGTCAAAAATTGATGACGATTTGAGAAATGCGGAAGATGACGGTAAGAGAGAGGAAGAAGTAATTCCAGGAATCAGAAAACAAATTAACGAACAGATATCACGTTATGAACATCTGAAGAATTCCGATGCAATTTTCCTTATGTCTAGCAAAAGGAAAGACATAGGGGATTGGGAAAATTTGTTGCACCATATCGAAAAATGTTTGCCACCTCCTAAATTTGAAACGTTTATGTATTCACTGCCCACGCTTACGGAAAATGTGATAGATTTAAAGTACCAAACATTGAGGAAACGCATAAAACTGGCTACATTAGCTGCTGCTTGCATAGCAGCAGCTCCAGTACCCGGATTAGACGTTGTTGCAAATCTAGCATTATTAGTAGAAGAAGTTGTACATTATATTAATGTTTTTGGCCTCTCAAAAGAAAGGCTAGAGGCTTTGGATGGGTTGAATCGTAAAAAATTTAATTGCGCTAGTTTTCATATTCAGGATATTCCTGGTATGGATTTGGCAAAAGTCATTATTGCCCAATTAGGAAAATATATAGCAATATTTACAATAGAATCTGTAGCTGACATATTCCTACCTATAATCGGATCAATTGTTTCTGCAGGGACATCGGCAGTTTTTACGTATTGCTACCTTAGTCGTACTCTTGACAATTTTAGAGATGACGCTCGTATAGTTTATAGATTTATCATGGAAAAACAGGATATCAAAGTCTAAAAGTGTTTACATAAACCGAATGTTGTACTAGATTTATATTCACATGTATAATTAGTCAAGATTTGAATGTTGTTAAACATGTGTGCTTATTGAACCATACAATGTTAGTTTTGAGTTAATGTAGTTGCTGCGATAACAGTCCTGTCATCTATAGTAATTTTAATTTCCAATAACATGTTTGTCATTTTGTTATATCGGGCCTTTTAATTGTTTACTGTAAAATGTAATGACGATATTTGTTTTTCTCATTGTTGAAGGCCATACGGTAGCATATACTTGCTTAGATTCAGTTCCTCTATTTCATTTGATCTCTGGTTGATAGTTATCTCATGATAAACATCCCATTCTCATCTTTTTTTCCTATTGTAATCAAATTTTGTGACTATCATAACAATCGAAGAATGAATATTATAATACTGACTGCTTACTACTTTGTCAAGTGATCATGGTGGATGGAATTTATTCCAGTATGTCATGATGAAATCCAAACGTATATGGTCAGCATCCAGTGGCAAATAATTTACCCATGTTCAAGACAATAACACGTTAAAAGTATATTCAATAGGTAGGTCCTGTAATAGGGTGGGCTGAGGTGAAAGGCGAAAGATTTGGACTGCCACTGGTAAATGTGTGTAAAGTGGATAGGGATAGAAATCTACAGACCATCATAGAGTTGTGACAAGAGTTCACCATGCAGAGAGTGTGGCACTCTATATAAAGAGGCATTGAATTTAACGTTCCCATCATGGTCGGACGTTGCTACGAATGTATTCAGCTTGCACAACCAAACGAACGCCCCATTTTACCAAGTGTTACTGTCGGTCAGAAGAATATAAAGAGTGATCATACTTCTATTCCCCAGTCACCCTTGAAGTGATAATTCAAACAACATACATTACAAAGATTTATAATTTATTGAGTTTTAATATAGAAGAATAAGGGTTAATATCAGTGAAAAATCGAAACGATAACATAAGCCATGTTTCTCGTAGTCAAGTAAGTAACACGGGGTTAAGCCTTTGACAAAATATATGACAAGAACGAAAAGGAAAACTAACTTAATTTCTATTTCACAAATATTTCTTTCATAAGTTTGGTATAACTTAAATGTTGAAGTCGTATTTTGGTAATTCAAAAATTTCATTCCAAAATAAGCCATTGTTTTTTTCTTCCTGTCTAAAAAGTAACATGACATATATCAAAGACATATGGAATGATGAAACCAACGAATTTTACAGTTGTTGTTCTATATTTGAAAAACTTGTGGATAAAAGAAACTGTATATCGGAATTTTCAAGAGTTAAAAGTTCAATACCAATCGACTTCTTACAAATTTTAGAAATTGATTATGAAATTAATGAAAAAACAAACATAGAATTGAAACTTTCTGATGAAATGTTCATATTAGATAGAAATGACAAAAAAATCAAACCTAAAGAATTGAAACTCAAGTATATTCGAGACACGATTAATAAAAATATATATCAAAAATGTCAAAACAAATGGCAAGAAATTTTTGGGCACGAAATTAATTGGAAAATAGTATGGGACAATCTGAAAAAAGTTAATATCACCAATAAAATAAAAGAATATCAATGGAAATGCATCCACAATATCATATATACGGAAAGTAGACTTAAAAAAAATCCAATTGTCAAACGGAAAATGTCGTATTTGCCAAACAGTCAATAATACTGAAAATTTGCAACATTTATTTTTCGATTGCAATACAACCAAAATAATCATTAGTGAAATCAAAGATATTTTCACATTATGGAATGTTCAATTAGATAATGAAAATTTAAAACATTTTATGCTTTTGGGAGATAGCAGTGGTCAATCGAACCACACTTTACTTGTAAATCTCTTTTTTATTTTGACAAAATGGTCCTTGTGGAAAATAAGAAACAAAATAAAATATGATGGGATAATAATGTCATCTACAGATATTTTGAATCTTTGGAAATCATACATGATAACCCATCTGAAATCTGTACCCTGTTATTTATCTAATAATACAATAGACAAAGAAAAAATAAACACATTAATTAATTTTATATGATAATTACAAACCTTGGAGGATATAACAGTCACGATGTCATGTGGTCTGCCGTTTATGTCTCTTTAATTTGTATTAGGTAATCCATGGTTTAGAGGTGCACTCGATTATGTTATAATGTTATATCATTTATTACTAGTATTACATTCTAGAAAGATGTTCTTTTTCATTCATTGTCATATAATAGAATAATAAGTATTATTATACATGTACTACTTTTTCTGGTAATACAGTGCACTTTTTTCAGCCTCCTGCTTCCCGGACAGTTGTTTTTTTTTTATTGTAAACGGGAATCCCCAGTTTGCATCCTGGGCAACTGGGGAAGTTGTAAACAGGAACTTTTTGGAATAAACAAGTGTCTATTTAGAAAAAAAAAAAAAAATGTTGAAGTCGTTCAATAAAACGTACAATAAATACCTCGTATTCCCTACCATGCATCACATGTTTTATTTCAACAAAAGAATTGATACTGATATTTGTTTTGCATTTGTAGCTGGAATAAATAATATGCATAACATATGAATATATGAATATAAATATTCATATAAATCCAAAATAAGAACTGTTGTATTGTTAAAGCATACTGGGAAATCTTGTCAATATAGTATGAATAACACCTTCCCGTAGTGTAAACATGAAATGCTTGTCTCTAATCATTGAATAAATATGTTTCTGTATATTTTTCTTTTTGTATTATGGTATTTTGTATTTATATGATGTAGTTGTCAGCTGGTACGCTTCCTGCATTGGTATTTACACCAATAAAATTATTTGATTTGATTCATGTATGGATACTGTTAAAATGACCTTCAAAACACCCTTAATTTTCTAAAAGTAGAAACAAGCAGAGTTGGACGATACATTACATCTGCATGTATACAATGAATATTTGTCTGTGATTGGTTCATTTTCTGTAAATTTCTGTATTATAAAATTGTGAATTGTTCGAAACACTAATGGTTTCTACCCTTGGGCATAGATTGCCTTAAATGTTTTGTATGATATTTTGGTTCTCAATGCTGTTCAACTTTGTTTTTGAGATGTCTTTCCAATTGTGTTTGATTGGCATGTCACTGAGGAGTCCTGTATAGATAAAACGCGCGTACCAAACTATAAGCCTGGTTACCTCTTATGAGTTTCTGCATTAAAAGGAATATATAGCATCCATCTGAAATGATTCAATACTGTACTTTTAAAGGGGCACTAGCTACGAGATATATAAAAAATCTGAAATATGATTTTTTTTTGTTCAATCATTAATAAAAGTAGAATAGTGAAATAATAATTCGCTTTTAGCAGTCAGTATGGTTCAATTTTGTCAAAATAAGCTAAAAAACATTGATGATGAATTATTCACTTGCAAGTGAAAAAATTCGACCTCATTGAATCCGTATTCATGTGAACTTCAATTTAACCCCTTGGCTAGATATAGATAATGAATGCATTGTGCGTGTTGAGTTATTTAAAGGAAAAGAATGTCAACATTGAAAGTGAAACAAAGGTAAATCATTTGATTGACTCATTCGATCCACAAAAATCATTCGTATACAGGTAAAAAAGATGATTAACATATATTTTTAATCTATAGTATGAAATTAAACAGACCTAGAAAAATCCAATTGCACGAGTTTCAATATCTATTTATATCTATATTTATGTTTATATCGCTTATATGGCCATCGGATGTGTTCGCAGGTCAACTCGATAGTTAATTAAATGGCGCCTAGACTAAAATACACACGAAACGAAGCTACATATTCTCGAGCCCATGCCCTGTAAATTGTTTATTTTAGACTTTTTATAATTTGGATAAATGTTTTACATTTTTATAAATCAAATATGAGAATTTGAGTCAAATCGGTGAACATGAATTTGACAGCTAGTGCCCCTTTAATATGACCGAATGTCTTGTTTTAACTTTATATTAGAAATTATATATATTGTGTCTTTCCGTACTAGTAATGACGCTGCTATTACTCTGCTCTGATATATAGTTATTGATTTTAACTTGTATGGTTGGATTATTTCTGTCAGTAGACTTAGGCGCTTTGAGCTTGTTATCAATTAATGAGCATTCTTTGGTACGGAATTGTTATCATTTGTTTATCATAATTTTAGTTTTTTTCTTGTTTTTTGTTATCTTTAATAATTTAAGTATAAGTGTTTTCTTCTGAACTGATTTTAATTGTATTGTTTCTTATCATTTAATTTGTCAACCGTCTTGGATACATCTATCAAGTTGTAAATGGCTTTGCACTAACTCTCATTAACTGCAAGTGCTCTAAGATCAGTACTTTTTTACTTATAGCTTTTTGTATTTGTTAGTTGTTTTTGTGCTTGTTCGTGCCGAGCTGATCATATATGTTATTCGTAAATTATTTCATTAATATATAGGCCGTTTGTTTTCCTGTTTGAATTGTTCGATTTATTTTAGTCGGGGCCTTTGGTTTTGTCGTTGTAGAATGGCGTACGATGGCCTATAATTGCTTACTACCACTTCATTTGAACTTTGGTGGATAGTTGTCTCAATGACAATCATTCTGCATTTCCTTATCTTTATTTGATAAATCAAGTCGTCTTTAACTGATTTTTTATGGTTTTCTTTATGTTTTGTTTTTACAATAATAGCCAAGGTTAGGCATGAGTTTGACTGTCCCTCTGGTATCTTTCGTCCCTCTTTTAGGGTTGGTCAAGCTAAAGCAACATGTTTGATAGCAACACATCTGTATGCGCTTGTTCTAGATCAAGTGTCTGTAATTAAGTGGTTTCCGTTTATAGCTATCTGTTATTTTTGTTTTTGTTTCCACTTAAAACGCGTCAATGTCTTTTTGTATGAAACTTTTTTCTATTTTAACACTGCCATATAAGCGGGAGGTTTGGCTTACCATAAAACCAGGTTCAACCCATCATATTTTCTTTAAATGTCCTGTACCAAGTCAGGAATATGGCAGTTGTGATCAAATAGTCCGTTTCTACACATGTATGTTGGCGTTTGTTTTTGTTGCAGTTCAGTGTTTCTGTTGTTCTGTTATTTTCCTCTTATAGTTGATGTTTTTCCCTCTGTTTTGGTTTGTGACCCGGATTTGTTTTCTCTTAATCGATTTATGACTATTGAACAGCGGTATACTACTGTTGCCTTTGTTTGCCATGTCTATAGTTTATTAAACGGTATGG